ATATATATACATTTTACTTTTTTGTTTTACTTTGTTATTTTTTTGGCTTTTGTTTCATAAGAAAAACAAACAAAAAATGGAATCGATTATTTGGGTACATAGGGTATAAATCGTTATTTTGTTCGACTCTACATATGATATAGGCCTATTTGAGAGACAACCTCGATTTGTATGCTATACATAGCTTTTAAGTTCATGTTCCAAAAATGTTTATTGTTTTTACAAACTTTGTCCAAAACGAAACCGAAAAAAAAATCCCTAAAAAAAAAAAAACAACACCTGAAATATACACCTGAAAATGTTGATATCAACTGCAACTCGCTCGTTCCTGTTACCTGCTGAAGGTCCTGGTCCACCTGACGAGAGCATGCCGTGTCGACATCACCAGCGTCTGAAGCATCTGAGCCTGCGCCATCAGCGTAAACACCAGCACACGCACCACCAAAACAATCCGCTACACCACCATAACAACCACCACAATCATCATCATCAGTATCTGCCGCAGCTGCCCGCGGATCTCAAGGGTAAATCCAACAGCAACAAATCGACAACAACAACAACTACTACTACTACTACTACCACTACCAATACCAATACCAATATGCATGCAGCGCACGCCTCCGCCTCCGCCTCCGCCTCTGCCAACGTCCCAGCCACAGCCTCTGCCTATGCGTCCGCCTCCGCCTCGACATCAGCCAGAGCCAGCTGCTCGGCGTGCCAGGTGAGCGGCGCCAGCGGCGGCAGCCTGAACAATTTGTCCCTAACCCACGATGAGTCGGAGCGTGATTTTGATTTTGTGATACCGCCATCGGGCTGTGCCTGCGACGAATGCTACGGGCTGCTCAGCAACAGCAGCAGCGTCTTTGCCCCGCCCAGTGCCAGCGCCACGGCGAGCACACTGATGGCCGACGATTGCTATACCCAGACAGCTTCCTCGATGCTGAATGCCACGCGCTGTGCGATCAACACTGTGACGGCCATAGCAACGGGCAACAGCACTCCGGGCAGTGCGACGGCCGTAACGGCAGCAACTGTTGCTGATGCCAAGGCCAGTTCGGCATCAACAATTTGCTCCTCGGCCTATTTCTCAACGTCGGCGCCAACGGGCAGCAGTTCGGTGCAAAGCATGTCGCGCTCTAATAGCAAAAAGCTAAATAACAACACTTGCAGCATAAACAATAACAAGCTGAGCTTTCGTAGCAGCAGCAGTCAATTTCAAATGCCAGCGCAGCAACAACAGCAGCAGCAGCAACAACATCATCAGCAGCAGCAACAGCAACAACAACAATCGCCATTGCAATCGCCAACAGAAAAGTCGATATGCGATACGGATACGGAGGATGCGGATGATTTGGATGATCCAAAGAGTCCGAATAGCGCCTCCTCATTATCCGAAACATTCGACTGGTGGTTCAATAAGCCGAAGCGTAACTCTAAGAAGTGCAGGTATCCTTTTTATCAACAATTATCTGTAGAACAGTTGCCAAAAAAAAGCACAAAAAAAAATGAAACTAAAAAAATCTTTGCCCAAACTCCACGCAGTCATTAAAACCCAAACAGAGCTACAGTCATGCCACACAAATACACTGAACGAAAAGAATACACTGTAAAAAAAATCTGAACAAAAGACAAACTGTGCACCTGCTTTTGCTTGCGCGCTCTCTTTCTCGCTCTCTCTCTCTCTCTTGCTCTCTCTCTTAGTCTCTCTCATGCATAAATGTTTGATTTCATTAAGCAAAAAGTTTCGAAACAAATAAATTGCAATAATAATATATTTCTTTTTTTAAATCAATCACCCACTCATCAAACCACCCACCCACCACTCACTCACACACCAACACACACGCACTGTTATACACAGCACACAGACATCCACACAGCCACCGATACAGCCACAGCCACAGCCACAAACCCAATGCAAATTCAAACCAATTACATTTTGGCATCAGACATCGCCCACACCGCGCTCTAGTTATCGCTCTTTCTTCAATTCTCTTGCCGATCAAATTTATAGCAAACGTTCTACAACGTCTCAATTAAATATAAACAATGGATTTAATTTAACTACAACACATAGATCGTCACCAGTGAGTAGTTGTTGTGGCAGTAGTAGCCAGGGTCGTTCCAGTCCAGACACGGATCATGCAGCTGAGCCGCCCGAATTTCCACTCAGTCCAGGTTAGCATACCTGGCCATGTCAAATGGCCCTTGGACGTTGCCTCTGTCTTTATCGTTTCTCTTCCTTTGCCTACTTCGTTTGTTGTTGTTTCCTTTTTCGTTTGGTTTTACATTTATTTTCCTTTCTTTTGAGGAACCACTTGATGTTACCTTCTCCTCCTTGCCACCTATGTATACCACTTATAAATATATGATATTATAAATATATGATATATCAACTGATCCACACATGTCTAGCGCTCGCTTGAATTATGATTGTGCAATTGGTTAACTGTTATACGGCATAAGTGTTATACAAGCGCGCGTATCAGTTATGACAGAAAGTCCAATGTCTTTACTCTCTCTCTCTCTCACTCTCTCTGTCTATCTCTTTCTCTTTATTTTGTTTATACATTATTATATATATATAAATACACGAAATATATTTAAGGATTTGTAACAGTGTAAAAGCGAATATGTTGTTTTTTCAGTGTACTGCTCACCAAAAAATGTTGTTCTGCTGCGCAATTCATAGCCACGATTAACGCCGATTTCCATTAAGCTCTATATTAACACCAACACACACTTATACACACACACAGATGTACACATACAGAGAGAATTTTTGTGAAATTGTAATTATATTTATTAATTTTTTTTTTTATATTTTTAAAATTTGTTTTTAAGTTGCTTTTAAGTGTCTAAAGCTTTAGCTTATATAATTTACCTACACTAGACAAACAAAACAAGCTAAAAAACATCATACAAAAAAACATTTTGTGCCGTTACGAAAGGTATTTTGTTATTCCTTCTAATTATAATAATACCCATTTATAGTTTATAGTTATTTTCCCAGTTAGCAACTACCTTGTAGTCACACCCCACCCCACCTCTAGTAATCGTAGTGCATTTAATTCTTTACTCGTTTTTGTCATTTGCATTTATTGTTGATTTCACGTAATTAACGATAATTAAGTGTTAATTAATCCTAGTGAGGATTTGTTAGGTTTAGGTTTAGTCAGTCAGAATTACTAAATTTAGGTACCCAAATCAGCTAATTGATATATATATTATATTCTGATGAGAATATGATGTGTGATATACTACATAAAAATATATACTATAAATTATGTTATTTAGACTGCTCCAATAATTACCTATATCGATACATTATTCTTAAGAAATCAGTGACTTTTTCATAGACACTCTTAGCAGCTCGTTATCTCCTGATTCGACTGCTGAGTCTATTTTTCAACAGATCAATATCCTGTACATACTTAGCTTATATAACAGATCAGTAACTCAACCCGCTCAACTTTGCTTATATTATTAGCAAAGTTTCAAACCGTAGACACTTGGTTGTGTGTCTTGGCTATCACGCATTCAAGCGTTATACCAGTTCGAAGCAGTTCGAACAGCAAGCCTAGTTTGCAATAGCTGTTATACAAGGTGTTATAAATTAACTTGATTTATTTTGCTGCATGTTTAAGCAAACTGTTAATTGCACGTTTTATATTTTGCGTTCGTAGAGAAATAGCTAATTAACAGACTGTCAAACTAAATGCTGTAAAAATGTTTTTGAATTTGGTTGCCTTTTTGTATATATTTATGTATGTACGTGTGTGTGTGTATCTGTATGTATGTATGTATGTGTGTGTCTTTGATTTGTGATTATAGACTTGTAAACTTTATCTAATCTAAATATACTAAGTGCAATATTTATTATTTAATTTAATTTTTGTTTATTAAATACTAACTCAATTAGTTTTTGTACAAAAGGAAAATTTTGTGAAACTCAAGTTTATTTTKTCAATATTACAGCAATATATAATATTTTATTTATTTTTGAAATTTATTTATTTTATTTTTCTTGTAATAGTTCTTTGCCAGTAAAATAATAAATGAAATGAAACATTTTATCAATTCGCAATACTAATCCATCTTATTTTGAAATCTAGCCGAACTACCGCAGTATTTAACGCGTTTCCAATGGGATATGGCCAAATATCCGATCAAGCAATCGCTTCGCAATATAGCCGATATCATATCGAAACAAATTGGTCAAATCGATGCCGACTTAAAAACCAAATCGCAGGCCTACAACAATCTGAAAGGCAATCTGCAGAATCTGGAAAAGAAGAAAACGTATGTCGTTAATTATTATGAAAGTGACTCGACTCACGCATACCCTAACCACAATTTGTACATTGTTATATATACAGTGGCAGTTTGCTGACACGCAATCTGGCGGATTTGGTCAAGAAGGAGCACTTCATACTGGATTCGGAGTACCTGACCACGCTGCTGGTCATTGTGCCAAAGTAAGTTTGGAAGGGGTTTACTCCCATCTCTCTATAACGCTCTGTATAACACTGTTATGTCATCTGTGCTATTTCAGGGCCATGGCTAATGATTGGTTGGCCAATTATGAGAAGATTACGGACATGATTGTGCCACGCTCATCGCAGCTCATCAAGGAGGATCCCGACTACAGCCTCTTCAATGTGACGCTCTTCAAGAAGGTCACCGAGGAGTTCAAGCTTCATGCTCGTGAACGTAAATTTATTGTGCGTGATTTCGTTTACAACGAGGAGGAGCTGGCAGCGGGCAAGAACGAGATGACCAAGCTAATGACCGATAAGAAGAAGCAGTTTGTATGTGGTGGCAAAGTAGAGTAGATTACATATGATTAACTATTGTATATACTCTCAATAGGGTCCTCTGGTGCGCTGGCTGAAGGTGAACTTCAGCGAGGCTTTCTGCGCCTTGATACACGTCAAAGCGCTGCGCGTTTTCGTGGAATCTGTGCTGAGGTATACAATGAATTTTACAGAGGGCTGTTCAATATATTGAAACTACTTGTCCTACAAGCTTGAAGTGATACGATAGAGATAACATGCAGCCGGAAACTCATTGAAAATTAAACAAAATATTCTCAACTCCTTTTCTCCAAAAGCTCTTGTGACAAATTTGTTTTTGTTTATTATATTTCATACATCATAAGTAAATTATCATATATCAGTCATCCTGTATCGTATATCACATTATCATTAATAGTATTATAATCAGCTTTACCTTCTTTATAGGTACGGCCTGCCTGTTAATTTCCAGGCCATATTGATTGAGCCCAATAAGAAGAGCGTCAAGCGCTTGCGTGATGTGCTCAATCAGCTGTATGGCCACTTGGATGGTGCATCCGCTGGCGGAAATGTGAGCAGTGCTGATGTGAGTTGTTGAAAGTGAATAATTTATGTAAATATTGAAAGTCTCATTTCTCAAACAGAATGTGGATATACCCGGCTTGGGCTTTGGCCAATCTGAATACTATCCGTATGTGTTCTACAAGGTGAACATCGATATGGTTGAGCAAACCAAGCTTTAAGAAGGCAACGCACGTGCCTCTACTTCGCACACACCCACATAACCCCGCACGCCCATACACAGCCACACAGCAATAAATATATAAATACAAATGAAGATCAACAACTTACTGAATATGCAAATTGTATTCACAGCAACAGCTAACACACACACACAAAAAAACAAAAGAGAAAACGCTGTCTGCTTCCCTAAACAAATCAAGAACAATTCTAATCTGCTCATAACTAAAAAAAAAAAAAACAATAAGTGCATATAGTTAAAGATAAAAGGAACAACAACAATAGTAAACCACGCAAACAATTAATAGTTATCTATAAATTAATTTAGTCATTGTTATATAATTATTGTTGTTATTTATGTTACGCGTTCGCTGAATTCCGTTTCCCAAGTTCAACTTATTTTCAACAAAGAAAATCAAAAAAAAAAAAACTTTTAAATAATGTTAATCGCGCGTAAGAGAAGCAAAACAAAATTTCCAAAAGTTATTTGCCTCCGCCCCTCACAAAACTAAAACTGTATAAAAAAAGTTTCTAATTTGTATTTACAATACTTGCTTCAGTTTTAAACAGTATTTTTTTGTTTGTTACACTTTCTTTCTTTTGTTTGTTTTCTTTTGGCCTTGTTTTGTTAATGCAAAAATATGTAAACTATAACTGAATGATATATTTGATAGTGAACACCCACACACACATACAAATGATGAAACTTAACACACATTGTCACTAAAATCAAGCCGAAAGTTTAATTTTGTTTATAGTAGCTACAACATTATTAATAATACAAATAAATATTTGATTTACAAATGTTTCTTCTTCATTCACAAAGATGTGTTTAAACAATTTATCTTGTTTTTTTTTTCTTTTTCTTTTTAATATCTGTAACTAACAATTAATTGCAAGTCCGACTAAAACCCAACAATTTAAACTAATATTTGATTAATAAGTGTAAAAGGAGTCGCAAAACAAAAGATGCAATGAAATTTCCGCCGGAAAACATACTATATAAAACCTAAACAAAAGTATTCTATTTATAAATGTTGCCTAGATATCGAGAGTTTATACAAAAAGCAAAAACAAAATAAGTTTTGCAGATCTTTAACAGAATGAGTTCGAGTTAGCAAAAAATAAAAATAAAATAAATAAAAGAAAACCTTAATATATAATAGCTTATCTAATTCGAACACTTTGTAGATGAAAACTTTGCCCTAATCTAAAACTAAAAGAGGAAAGAACAATAATAATTGTATGTAAAGTAAAATTTAAATTAATATTTTCAATGTTTGCTACTGCTACAACAAGAAATCTAAATGTTTAAACAAAATAAGAAAATGCGAAAAAAGATTAATTTATATATA